CTCTTAGTATTTCAATTCTCTCTGCTAGCACAATGCAGCCACCTCATCAATGCAATCCTATTACTGGCTTAGCAGTGTATTGGAGTAGCACTGGTACAATATTCGAGTACCACTGTTGTAATTTTTACTGCTAGGGTACTGATCTACGGCTCGTGCAGTGCCACCACTACAGCACTACATTACAAGAGTATTACAACAGTGTTGCGCAACTGCGGCACTTGAGTTTTCCGACTACAGTATTGTAGTACACCCACTGCAGGTAATCGTGCACTCGTGCTCTTACGAATGCTGTACCAGAGTTCTTCGTCTACAGCCCCACTACTAAAACAGTACAGCGCTATTTCGCAATCGTACAGCAATATTCCTACAGCACCACCGCTAAACTGTTCGAGGCCGAAGATGCTACTACTACCAGTGTGCTCGAGCACTACAGTAGGTAACTGCGTCTGCTACAATATTACAGTGCGACTACTACATCACTTACTAGATTATTACCTGTACTGCACGACTTGAGTAGTACCATTGCAACTACAAGACTACTGCAATGCTGCCACTTCATGCATGCAGTGATACTGCTGGTTTAGCACGGTGTCAAGGTACCACCAAAACAGTATCAGAGCATCACTACTGCAGTGATACTGCTACAGCATCTTACTACGACCGCTACAATGCCACCGCTACAGCAGTACATATATATATATATAAATATATATATATATAGTATCGCAACACTGCTGCGATACTACGGCATTGGAGTAGTCCTCCGACAGGACACTAGCACATTCACTGCAGGCAGTCGTAGAGTACCGTTCATACGAATACTGTATTAGAGTACGGCTTCTGCAGTACCGTTGCTACAGCAGTACATCACTATTCCCCAATCGTGCAGCGCTCGCCCTACAGCAGTACCACTACAGCAATAGAGTTCGAGGGTATTACTACTGTATTCGAGCACTACAATAGTGTATTCGTTTTATTACAAGACGACAGTGCGACTACTAAGGCAAGCGCTAGAACATGACCTTTACTGCCAGGCCTGAGTACTACTACTACTACCACTACCACTACACCTACTATTACTACTACTACTACTAATACTATTACTACTTATCCTGCTACTACTACTGCTACAACTACTACTACTGCTACTGCTACTGCTACTGCTACTGCTACTACTACTACTACTGCTGCTAGTACTACTACTGCTACTACTATTAATATTACTGTTACTACGATTCGTACTACTACTACTACTACTACTACTACTACTACTACTACTATTATTACTACTACTACTACTAGTACTTCTACTACTACTACTACTACTACTACTACTACTACTACTACTACCACTACTACTACTACTACCTACCTTGCCTGCCTGCCTGCCTGCCTGCCTGCCTACCTACCTACCGACCTAACTACCTAACTCACTAACTAACTAACTAACTAACTAACTAACCAACCAACCAACCAACTAACCAACCAACCAACTAACTACTACTACTGCTACTACTACTACTATTACGACTACTACTACTACTACTACTACTACTACTACTACTACTACTGTTACTACTACTACCACCACCACCACTACTATTACTACTACTACTACTACTGCTACTACTACTACTACTGCTACTACTACTACGACTACGCCTACGACTACGACTACGACTACGTTTACGACACTACTACTACTACCTACTACTACTACTACGACTACTACTACTACTACTACTACTACTACTATTACTACCACTGCCACTACTACTACTACTACTACTACTACTACTACTACTACTACTAATACTACTTCTACTACTACTACTACTACTACTATTAATATTACTACTACTACTACGACTACGACTACGACTACTACTACTATTACTATTACTACTACTTACCATTATTACTACTACTACTACTACTACTACTACTACTACTACTACGACTGCTACTACTACTACTACTACTACTACTATTACTACTTCTTCTACTTCTACTTCTACTACTACTACTACTACTACTACTACTACTACTACTACTACTACTACTACTACTATACTACTACTACTACTACTACTACTACTAACTACTACTACTACTACTACTACTACTACTACTTGGGGGACTGCACATCCGTTGCACGGGGGAGGGGGGGGAGGAGGGAGGAGGGGAGGGGAGGAGGGGGAGGGCAGGAGGACGGGAGGAGGGAGGGGAGGAGAGGAGGACGGGAGGAAAGAGGGAGGAGGGGAGGGGAGGAGGGGGGGGAGAGGGAGGGATGGGGGGGGTCAAAAAAAGAAAGAAAGACAAATAATCAGTTGTTTTTGGTCTTCCGCCTCCCCCCCCAAGGTTGCACCCCCCCTGGTCACGAATCTGATTGTGCGAGGGGTCGCACAATCGCAAGCGTGACCAAACGGCGCCCCCCTTTGTCAAGGCCCCCCCCGCCGAAACCTCAGGGGGGCGGAGGGGAGGGGAGGAGGGGGGGGAAAGGGAGGGAGGGGGGGGCAAAAAAACATGTTTCCCCCCGACCCCCCCCAAGGGTTGCAAACGCTCCCCCCCCAGTCACGAATCTGATGGTGCGAGGGGTCGCACAATCGAAAGCGTGACCAAACGGCGCCCCGCCTTCTCAAGGCCCCCCTCCCGAAGCCCCAGGCGCATCTCCAGGCGCGCTCGGGAACCAGCGGCCCCCAGCAGGCCGAAGGTCTAGCAAGATCAGTCTTCTTTTTTGTATAGGTACTCATTGTATTCGTGCAGATATGTCTCCACCGCCGCTGGCTGGGCCCATCCTGGGCCCAAGAGCGGTGTATATGCCTCCCTGGCCAAGCCAGGGGGCGTGCACACCGCTCCTGGACCCACGATGGGACTGGCCAGCTGCGGTGGACGTGTGCAGGTCTCGCCGCCCCCCTGCGCCCTCCCCTCTTTTCTTCCCGCTCCTCTCCTCCTCCTTCGAGGGCCAATTCAGCTGGATTGGCATATTGGTTCTGAGCTCTGCGCGGCTTTCCTGGATCGGCGCTCGGGCTCCCTTGTCGGCGCCTCCGGCGCCGCCCCTGGCGCGCTCCGCAACGCGGTGGGGGTCCAGGGCAGCTCCAAGAACTCCGCCGCGGACCTCCGACCGTTCAGTTTGATTTAGTTGTTTTGTGTCTCCGCTTCATCTTCCACCCGCCATCGTGCCTGGAGATTGGGGGGTGGATTTAGACATCTATGAACAAGGGCGCCCTCGAGGGCGCGAAGTTATTCGCGCTTCGCGCTTCGCGGTTCGGCTCCGATTCCTCCTCATCCTCCTCTTCTCCCCTGGGAGGCGGCGCGAGAGCGCGAAGTTATTCGCACTTCGCGCTTCGCGCAGCGCGAAGCGCGAAGTTGGGAGCCCTCGATGAATGCGGGCCGCGGAGGTGTTTAGGGTAAATCCGCCACCGTGCCAGCGAAGCTCTCTGCGTGGCAACCTTCGAGCACCGCCCAGAAGACCTTCAGATGTGACATCTCTCGTCTCCACTTCTTGAGCTCTCGTGGGGACTATTTGGGCCGTCTTGGTGCTGCCTTGGGCTCCTGTGGGGCAGTCCTGGGCTCTCGTGGGCCGTCTTCGAAGACTCGAGGTCGTCTTGAGGCCATCTTGGGCGTCTTGGAGCGCTCTGGGGCCGCCTTAGGATCTTTTTGGACCGCCTTTGGGGCCTGAGGACGCTCTTGGGCCGTCTTTGCGCTCTCTAGCCTATCGGTCAAGGCAAGGGACCGTGCCCCAGTAGCGCCCGAGAGCGCCTGGCAGCGGTCCGGCTGCGGATGTGATGCAATTACTGTGGTGCAATCTCTGTGGTGCAAGCTGTGCAGTGCAAGCCATGCGGTGCAAGCTGTGCGGTGTAGTCTGTGCGATGCAAGCTACGCCCAGCCAGCGCACGGGGCGGCGACGACGTGGCAGTGGGCGGGCACCTGGCGCAATCTCGGCAGACCTGTCCAGTCACGTTCAGGGGCAACGTGGGGGGGGGATCTGAATAGGGGCGGGGATGCATCGATCCCAGTCGCCCATTGATCGCCGACAGGGGCCCTATAGCCCCACCCGGACCAGGAACGTGCAGATTCGCCATCGGGGGCCCATCGCCGATCTATCGGCGACCTATCGCCGATTCCGGGTCGGTGTGTCCCCCCTGTGCCAGCCCTCGACTACCGTAACCCTTCACGCGCAGTTTTTCTCAGAGTCTCAGAACCGCTCGGTGCAGGCACTGAGCGAGTTGGGCGGCGACGAGGTGGTGACCGGGCAGCCACCGCGCGACACTCGGGCAGACCAGTCGGCGCTCGGGGCCGCGGCGAGGAGGCCGCGGGCGGCATGTGGGCGAAGACCGGCAGGCCCTTCCAATGACTTCTCGGGAGCCTTGGGGTGGGGGTCGATGCGAAAGGGGGTCGGCCAGAGCGCAAGAGTTTGCACGATCCTGCAGAGCCAGGGGTGGATCGGCCTGGGTCAGCGCGCAGGATCCTGCAGTACTTTGCAGGACCTTGCACAGCCCGACTGACCCGGGTTTGCATTGACCCTGGTTCAGCAGATCCCCGAACTTAGACCATCAACAACAGCCTCAAGGTGTGCAAGAAGCACTGTTTGGGGAATGTGCATCCTTGGCTGCTTAAGGTCATCATGAGCTGGCTCTCGCTGTTATGAAGTAGGCGTGTGCTTGACCATGAGTTTCGGGGAACATGCAAAGCCATGAACATGACAACTCGGAGGTCCGCGCGGACTTCTGGGATCGGCGCTGGACCTCCTCCCTGGCGCGCGGAGCGTGCCAGGGGCGGCGCCGGAGGCGCCGCCAGGGCGCCCCAGCGCCGATCTGAGGAATCCGTGCGGACCTCTGAGTTTTTACGTTCATGTCATCGCTTGCCCCCCCCCCCAGAGTTGCGTACCCGCACTGTGCCATGGCATGCTCTGAGGGCTGCGTTGAAAGGACGGCCAGTGGCCGTGGTCCTGTGCAGCTCCCGCCCTCGCACGGCACCCGGCTTCTCTTTGCCCCCAGGCCGTGGACGCGGAGCTCGAGGCCGCACGTGCTCGGGAGGCGGCGGCGCCGCTGCTCAGGAAGCTGGTGCAGTCGGCGGCAGCCGCCAGGCCGCTGCCGCCCTGTGATGCGGCCTCTTCGATCCACAGGGCAGGCCCCAGCGATCCGCCGTTGCCCTGCAAAGTGAGCGGGCGGTTTTTGGCTGTTTTCGGCCTCCTCGGGGCCCTCGCCAGGCCTCGGGACAGTGAACAAAACGACCGAGGACGAAGCAACTGCCCTAGGGAAGTGGTCCAGACCTCCAGGGCCCACTCTTCTATCCACAGGGCTCCCACCGTAATTCCGTTTTTAGAGCGCACTAGCGTCGATTAGTATTGGAAGTCGATGAGACAGCGCCGATTTAGCGCCGATTAGCGTCGATCAGCGTCGGTTGGCGTCGATTCAGCGTCGATTTAGCGTCGATGAGCGTCGATGAGTGTCGATTCGCAAGGGTCAGCAATAGGGTATGGGGTGCTCCCATGAGTTGCCGCCGAAGGGTAGGGCGTTGGAGGGACAGCTCGCCTGGGGGAAGGAGAAGGTAACGGAAGGAGACGGTTCCGACCCCATTCTGCTGCCCGTTCATCGTGGGACGAGAAACGGAATAAACCTACTTTCGGAGCTCTGCGCGGATTTCTTGGATCCCCCTCCCTGGCGCGCGGAGCTGGCCAGAGGCGGCGCTGGAGGCGCCGACAGGGGGGGGGCCCAGCGCCGATCCAAGAAATCCGCGCGGAGCTCCGAAAAAATGTATGTTTATGCAGTGTCTCGTCGTCGATCACAGCACCATCCGATCCTACTTGATTTTGCCTATCAGGCACGGGGCCGTTTCGACGCGGGGAGCTCGGGCAGGGTAGGGCGCAAGGCGCGAGGCAGAGCGCTGCCCAGGAGCCCAGCTCCAAGGAGGGACAGACAAAAACGCGAGAGCAACGCGCGCGGGCCGAGGGCGCTCAACCTCAGCGCGCTGCACGCGAGACAGAATGAGAGAGAGAGAGAGAGGAAGTGAAGCAGAGAAGCAGAGATCAGGAGGGGAAACACACACAGACGTAAGAAATCGTCGACCACCAGGAATATGGGGGATCCTGGGATTTGTGTCTATTGCAAAGGCCTTACGGCCCGTGCCGCCGACCCTGAAGGGAGACGACGACGACGACGACGACGACGACGACGACGACGACGACGACGACGACGAGGACGACGACGAGGACGACGACGAGGACGACGACGAGGACGACGACGAGGACGAGGACGACGACGACGACGACGACGGCGGCGGCGGCGGCGGCAACGACGACGACGCTGACGTGGGCCAGGGATGATTCTTGGGGTCTCGTCGGATGTCTCTCGGGGGCCTCTGGGGAGGAGTCCTGGGATTTCTGCCCACTTATTTGTGTGTCTCCGGGCCTCAGCGGCGCCGGTCGGGCTGGCCCCTCGGCGGCGGTCGGGCGCGAAGCGCGATCGCCGACGCGCCATTGGGCGTGGCCGGGCAACGCCGGCCCCACCATGGGCGGACCCGACGGGGCGCGGGCGCCTGCAACCTCGAGGCGACGCAGGCAGCCTCCTCCTCTTCCTCTTCGTCGTCCTCCCTTTCCTCTTCTTCCTCCCTCTCCTCCTCCTCGTCGTCGTCCTCCTCCTCCTCCCTCCCTCCTCCTCCTCCTCCTCCTCCTCCTCCTCCTCCTCCTCCTCCTCCTCCTCCTCCTCCTCCTCCTCCTCCTCTCCTCCCCTCCCCCTCCTGCTCCTGCTCCTGCTCCTCCTCCTCGTCCCCCTCCTCGCCCTGGTGCTCTTTCACCCATCTTCTTCTTCCTGCAACGCCGTACTCCTTCACCCAGAACTGCCCGTGTGTGCCCGGGCGTCACTGAACTTGGTCTCGGTCCGCTTGGCCCAGCCGAGGTCTCCAGCCATATCGCGAGCCCCCCCCCCGCCCTCCGCGGCCACCCGCCGCCGCTGGGAGGTACAGCCAAGACGCTGACATAAGGAGCAGTCTGGGTTCGATATTCCTCAGGGCCTTCCTTTGCTGTTCCTCTAGCGCTCCGCGACCACGCAGGCGCTCTTGCGGCCAACGGGGGGGGCTCGCTCCTGATATAGCGGCGACGACGACGACGACGACGACGACGACGACGACGACGACGACGACCCGAAGTTCACCATGCGCCGCGCACCGTGGTGCCACGGCCTGGCCGATGGCAGCGTGCGGCGTGCGGCTCGTGCGCCCTCTCTCATCGGGCCGGGCGCGCGTGCTGCAGGCTCGCGCCGTGCCGCCGAGGCAGCGATCCCGCTGCCAGCGTTCAGCGTTGAGCGCCGCCTTGGGCGTCGCGTGCAGGCTGGTCCCCGAAAGCAGGTATTTTCGGATTCCTAGATCCCAATCTACTCCAAGCGCCTTCCTACTCCAATGATCGAAATGCTTTTGCTGTGTTTTGTGATTCTCCAGGAGGGCCTGGCCTAATCTACTTTATGCGCCTTCCTACTTCATGTTGTTACTTACTTCTTCCGACCGGCGTGTAATGGGGGGGCGAAAAATGGGGGGGCAGCGAGGGCTGCAGGAAAGGGGCCCTCGACATGGGCCCTCTAGGGCCCAGAAGG